CCGTAGCCCAGATACTTGTAGCCCAGAAATGGTAGCCTAAAATGCAGGCTCTGGTAGCCAACATAGGATCTATGAATTGCTTCCTTTGCATACCTATATTTAGCCATAATAAGGTTCATTCACTTGGTTTGGTCTTAGCGAATTGTATGAATCTCATCATTGTGGCTTATAAACCATGGTTGCAGACCCTAATTGTTAAAGAAACAAGATCACACAAACATGATTCCATGGAGTTACAGCTCTTGTGTAGACTTCAGAGAAGATGGGAACATCTCCCCCTTTTAGAAATAAGATATGATAAGAGATGAACTGACCCAGTCCATGTAAGATAAGATAAGATAAGATAACTTTTATTGTCATTTTTTTACTGTGAGCGCACTGGCACACATTAAAAATGAAATTCTGTAGCCTGCTCTCAAAAGAAAGTATATATCTATCCATACACATACAATACACATATATACATACCCACACACACACATTAATCACTGCCCATTTTGAAAACATAGTGGAAAGAGGAAACTTGAGAGTTCACATGGTTGATGCTATATGGAACAAAACTGTGACTGAATTTGGATGTTTCGTTTCGGATACCACGGAGCCTCCTGCCAGAAGGTAACAAGGAAAACAGGTTGTGAAGAGGATGTGTAGAGTCCCAGACAATCCTGCGGACCCTGCTACCCATGTCCTGGCTAGAAGGAAGTGAACTACCAATAATTTTTTCTGCCATTCTCACCACTCTCTGCGCCGCCTTCCTGTCCCAAGCAGTAATGCTTCCAAACCAGACAGTAATGCCATATGATAGGATGCTCTCAATCGTCCCTCTGTAAAAAGTGGTAAGGAGAAGGGAAGGTAGTTGTACTTTTCTCATGTGACACATAAAATGCAGGCGCTGCTGTGCCCTTTTCACCAGTGTCTCACTGTTGAGCGACCAAGCTAGCCTACTCATTAGCTGCACAACCAGAAACCGGATGCTGCTAACCACCTTCACAGGTGAATCATTAAAACACAGAGGTGTGTGTCTGTGCCTGCCTTTTCTGAAATCGACAATGATCTCTTTGGTTTTTTCTACATTTAAAACGAGGCTGTTTTTTATTACACCAGTTCACCAAGCCCTCTACCTCCTAGCGGTAAGCACCCTCATTGTTATCCTGAATAAGGCCCACTAGTGTTGTATCATGTGATTACATTGAAGTTTGACGTGTGTCCTGCCAACCAGAAAACGGGTTCTTGGTTAAATATAGTGGCAAAAAATGAGCAATTAGGTCAAAGAGCACAATTCTCTTCCTAATGTTTTGCTGGAAATTTTTCTCACATAGTTGCCAGACTTCATGACTCTCCCTTCAACTTCCAAGAGAAAGTTAGTGGTTGAGGTCATGGTAAGGTGAAATGTTCAGCAGAAGTTAAGAGTAGTTGTATTTCCTGTGTAAAATGTACTACCCATTGTCGCCGCTCTATCAAAATAGACATAGTCCTCGCCTAAAAAGTGAAAAAAGCGACTTAATGACATTTTCACACTTAAAGCCATTGCAATATCCACATGATCAAAATTCGGACGCTTGGCAACCGGTTCATATTTGTGACGGTTGTAGAGTTCTGGGGTCATGTGATCACCTTTTGTGACCTTCTGACAAGGGAAGTCAGTGGGGAAGCCATATACACTTAACAACTGTGTTACTAACTAAACAACTGCAGTGGTTCGCTTAACAATTGGGGCAAGAAGGGTTGTAAAATGGGGCAAAACTCCCTTTGCAAATGTCTTGCTTAGCAGCGGAAATGTTGGGCTCCATTGTGGTCCTAAGTCAAGGATTACCTGTAAAATGAAAAGAATGAGAATTTGGGCTGCCGAAAAAGAATGAGGATGTACATTGTATAGAACTGTTGAAAGAAAAGTCTTCATCCTGGTTCATCCAAACTGGGGATAAATAAACAACATGGCGACTGCTTTAGGAAGAAGGTTGCAGTTTATTGAAGAGCTAGCCAGTGTTTCTCAACCTTGACCATTTTAAGGCATGTGGACTTCAACTCCCAGAATTCCACAGCCAGCAATGCTGGCTGTGGAATTCTGGGAGTTGAAGTCCACATGCCTTAAAATGGTCAAGGTTGAGAAACACTGCGCTAGACCAAAAGATGGTTCTGGCAGGAAAGAGGAGAGAAAAAAGAAGGGCTGAGCACTTGTGGGTAGTAGGTTTTTATACCCACTGAAGCCTTTTGTTCGGAGTAGTTTCCTGTTCCTGTGTTGAGGCTTTGTATTTTCTGTGTCATGTATTCTGACCTGAGTCTGGGTGTGCCTTTCTGGTATTCCTCCTGGTGATGGGTTAGTCCTATTATTACCAAAGGGTTATGTCCTGCTTCCCTGGTGCTGGGGCTAATGAGTCCTAGCGTTTGGGTGGGGTATGCAGATTTTAGGTGTCTTTGTCTTCTTGGTTTTCTAGCTCCAACTTTTCTGATGGTTTACATCAGCATTTGTACAGAGCTGGCTTCTGCTTGGGGGAGGGAGACCTGGGCCATCAAGGAAAACTGGGCATGCTTTTTTTGTCTCTTTAAGATTCTTGGAGGAAATATATTTTTCTGCCCTTTTAATATTTCCTTCTCTGGGGGGCTGACTTCCCCCAGAACTATTAACTGTAGAGATGGGAAACTTAAGAGTCTGCTTGTAGCCCCTCCTAGCGGCTTGAGTTCTTGCTCAAAATGTTGGCTACAAGTGATTGGTTTTAGGCATGCATTTTTTTTCCTCTCCCTCCTCCCCAATAAGGATGGAAATTGACACCCCCCCCCCCAAAAAAATAGCCTGAAATCATTAGGGTCCAACCCAAGGAGAATTGCCCAGCCCTGATTTCTACTTAACATTCATCTTTGTTTTTTTCCCCTTCAAATCTGTGTCCCAACAGGCCGCATTATTTTCTGTCTTCCTTTTTATTCTAAACAGTGACCTTGTTAGCTAAGAAAAAAAACACAGAATAAAAAACACCCCAGGGAATTTTGGAGCTGTTGGGCACTGGAAATAGAGTCTGCCTCTTTTTAGCCCAAAGAGACTACCCACAAAGCTGATTCGTTGGGACCTTTCAAAATATAAGATAGTTAAAAGGTTTATGAGTTACAGCATTATTGTTAATAACCCATCCATGCAATTTATAAAATAATATTTGGGGCTAATGGCATAAAAGGCAATCAGATCTCCACTTGGCATTCAATAATTGCAATTAGCAGTGAACCAGAAGAAAACTTAAGTGGTTAATAGTCTGAATGTAATACGTCGAGTTCATGGAGAAAAAGAAATGATGTATTCTTCACAAGAGGAAAAACGGCAGAAAGAAGTTGTATATTTCATAGGAATCTCTATTCAGGGCCATTTTTAGACTCTTCTTTAGAAAATTGGAAGAAATCAAACAATTCTCACTTCAGGATTTGCTAAATTCTATTATTTATTTAGACCAGATAGATGTGTTTGTTCCTTCCTTCCTGAGCTGGGGTTTCAAGGGAAAAGAGGAAATTCTCTAAAAAAAAAATTTTTTAATATAAATATTAAAAAAATATTATTATATTTAAAAAAAAATTAAATGTATTACTGTAGTAAGTTTTGAAAAAAATAAAAATGCACAATACTACAAAAAGAAACCAACTAACTACAAAAAATACAAACTGTTAAAAAAATGAAAAGAATATAATTAATAGTGAACAATAAGAAATGTAACAAAACAAAGAGGAAAAAGTTATAAGCAATATGTTTCCACAGTTTTCATATTCTACAAAAAGAGTTTATTCTGTTTGAAATGTGGAAGCTTCAGTTGTTTTAATGCTTGAGTTGTAGATGACAGTGCTTAGGAGATTCTTTAATATAATTGTCCATCCCTTGTATTAAAGCTTAAAAGGTGATTTAGCTTAATAATTGGTGACAGCAAATACCTTTAGAGATTATCCTAAATAAAAGACAAATTGCTGAAGTGATCAAGAGAGGAGGACAAAGCTAATTGAACAATAGATCTACCTGAGATTCAATCAGACCCCTCCCCTTCCATTCAACTTTGCAGAATGACACGGTGGGGGGGTTGTATATGTGCATAAGTGTGTGTGTGTGCCATTGCAGGTTGAAATCAGCAGGGGTCTTCCTTGATAACTCCTTCTGCTGTATGGCTTCCACCTTCAGGCACATTCCTGTACTTTCTAGCAAAGATGGAGCACATGGGAGAACTTTCCAAAAAGGCAGGAAGATCAAAATGCCTGTATAAACTCTGATACAGGGCTTGGGAGTGTCTTGTCTGAGGTTTAACCAGGGAGAATGCTTTGGCCAGGTTGCAATGGAGCCTTTCAGATCTAGGCCAGCTTTATAAGACATGTGTGAAAGCTTCCCTTCTGTGTTGGGAGATAGGCAACCAAATGGCCAAAGCCCCATGGCCTCTAAATTCCTGAGCCAGCCATGCTGAGGGGAAAGGAAGAGGTTTCCAAGCTGAGCCATACTGGCTCAGGAATTCTGGGAGTTGAAGTCCAGGAGTCATAAAAGAGCCAAGGTTGCCTACCCCTGATATATACTGTATGTTAAGACTCCAAAATCCAAAGGCCCTGGTGGTTGAAAATTCAGCACATCTAGAGATGAAAGGTGACATACTTTAGGCAAACATACCCCTGTCTTAATCACAGCTGATAAAAATTGAAAATGCCTCTTAAAAAATTCCCAGGTGAATCCCTCCCCTTATTCCCCAAATCTCAAGACAATCATGAATATTGGACAGGATTTTAGATAAGCTATTTATGTATATTTATTCTGTCCGCTCATTTTCTTGTGTAAAGTTACAAAACTCAACTCGGTTGAACAAAGTCGTTTTCCCATGGTTCATTCTGAGTTGGAGCAGTTCTCTCTCAAGTTTCCCTTCACTAACTACGGTAGTGGATTGCCTGACTAGAGAAAGCCAGGGATTAAAATTTGTTCATGTGAAGCACTTATTCTCCACTAACCACTGGCCCATCGTTTCAATCTCTTTTTGCAATCTGGCTGGACAGAGATGCAGAAGCACAAGTCGGAACTGTTTCTGGAGACCGAAGAAGGTGCTGCCACACCCCTTTCATTGGTCCACATTGAGGAAGAATTTAACTCCTCTCCATCTTTATACCAAGGTAAGGAAACGTGAAACCGGCTAGGAAATCATTGATTGACCCACTCACCAGAGGAGCACAACAAGGGGAAAAATGGAAATCTATCAACCTGCCCACTAGGACCCCCTTCCAATTATCTCAAAGCAGAGGTACTGTTCTGTCCCAGCCCACATGAGTCCTTGTTAAGCTCACAAGGAAAACCCCCCCTTCCAGCAAGCAGGCTGGAACCGCAGGGAAAAAAAACAATCCCCTTTTATTATTCACAGACCTGAGTCAATGTCCAAGGCAAACACAGTTCACAGAAACTCGAACAAACAGTTGCCTTCAGCAACCAGCATCTCCCACACCTTCCCTTTTATAATTCAGCCAAGGTGTGGCTTCCTAATGCCTTCTCCTTTGCCCTTGGAGCCGCCCCATTGCATTCCTCTGCCCTACTCTTTTCTTACCGGCATTTTTGTGCATCCTGGATATATCATCACTGTCCAACTGAGACTCTCAGCACAGCTGTGTCTCAGCCTGAGCGCGAGTAGAGGCCAGGCTCCTCGTCAGACTGTAAGTCTTGGAGCTCCTCAGAGCCTTCCTCTGTCTCTGATGTCACTCCAGGCCCCTCCTCCTCCTCCTCTGATTCCTCAGACTCAGCTGCCGGATCCACTGGCTGGCGAGGCATCACAACAGGTACCAGTAGGTAATCTTGAGATGTGTAGGATAGTAGGCCAAAGGATGATGCAAAGTTGGGTCAACATATTATGGTTTCTCCCCCCCCCCAAAGTCACTTTGGGGGCTTTTTGTTGTTGTGTTTGGTTTTTAAACCGTTACATCTCTTTTTGGATGAGCACTATACTTTTTGCATGTATCCACATTGCAGATACGGGAAAATATGGCGCCGATTTCTTACGCCGCTAGTCCGGGTTGACTCGGGAACACCAAAAAGGGACATGAAAGCCTCATTCAGTTTTGGGCCTCTGGTTAGCTATCTCTCCTTCTCATAAAGTAAAACTACTTCTTTGTGAGTGGGGTGGGAGACTGCTGGACTGTCTGTTTTCTTGCCCTAAGAACTCTTTGCTTGAGGAAGGCATATAAACCCGGAGAAAGACCAAGGTCTATGTCTCCTCCGTAAAGGCATCTGGCGTGGCCAGGAGGAATAATAATAATAATAATAATAATAATAATAATAATAATAAAAGTTGGAAGGGACCTTGGAGGTCATCAAGTCCAACCCCCTCCTCAGGCAGGTAACCCTATACCATTTCGGACAAATGGCTGTCCAGTATTTTGTATTGTATCAAACTGTTTTTAAACTGGCTGTAAGCCGCCCTGAGTCCTCCGGGAGAAGGGCGGGGTATAAATATAATAAATTCAAATTCTTAAAAACTTCCAGTGTTGGAGCATTCACAGCTTCTGGAGCCAGGTTGTTCCATTGGTTAATTCTTCTTATCTATGAAGAATTGTCCCTGAGATGATAATAATAATAATAATAATAATAATAATAATAATAATAATAATAATAATAATAATAATAATAATAAATAATAAAGTTGGAAGGGACCTTGAAGGTCATCTAATCCAACCCCCTGCTCAGGCAGGAAACCCTATACCATTTCAGACAAATGGCTGTCCAGTCTCTTCTTAAAAACTTCCAGTGTTGGAGCATTCACCACCTCTGGAGCCAGGTTGTTCCATTGGTTAATTGTTCTCACTGTCAGGAAGTTTCTCCTTAGTTCTAGGTTGCTTCTCTCCTTGATTAGTTTCCATCCGTTGCTTCTTGTCCTGCCTTCAGGCGCCTTGGAGAATAGCCTGACTCCCTCTTCTTTGTGGCAGCCCCTGAGATATTGGAACACTGCTATCATGTCCCCCCTCGTCCTTCTCTTTGTTAAACTAGACATACCCAATTCCAGCAGCCTTTCCTTATATGTTTTAGCCTCCAGTCCCCTAATCATCTTTGTTGCTCTTCTCTGTACTCTTTCTAGAGTCTCAACATCTTTTTTACATCGTGGTGACCAAAACTGGATGCAGTATTCCAAGTGTGGCCTTACCAAGGCATTGCAAAGTGGTATTAACACTTCACATGATCTTGATTCTATCCCTCTGTTAATGCAGCCTAGCACTGTGTTGGCCTTTTTGGCAGCTGCAGCACACTGCTGGCTCATATTTAAATGATTGTCCACTAGGACTCCAATGTTAACCCTGTCTCTTACCCAGCAGACTCCCCCAAAGACCAGGAAAGCAGTAGGCAACAGAGGGGTCTGATTTCCAGCAAATGTAGAGAAGTCCGGGAGTTTTTTCTTCCTTCCTTTTGCTTTTTCTTCCATCCTGACCCTAAGTTGGAATGCAAAATGCTAAGAAAAAAACAACGGGTTGCATTATCACAGACATTGTGTGTCTGTGTATGTGGGGCGGGGGGAGTCTTTACCCTGTTCCACATTGGAAGAGGTTTAAAAAACAAGACAGAGATAGAAATTTACCTTCATCTAAGAAAGATTGGGGTGTCTTATAGTCAGCAGTTCACACAATAACTAAAGCAGGACTGATCTGTCTGGGGCCGGATCTAACCTTCGGAGTCAATTAATTAGTCTGATTAATCATTTTCTGAAGTCCCCCGTCCTCCCCTCCCCACATATTAGCTCAGCTAACCACGCCAGTGAATCCACAGAGTGCAGCCTTGTCCATCTTATTGCTTTCCATGGGAATCGGGAATACAATTCCCAGAATTCAGGTTCCCACTTCACATGGCTCGTATTTCGCTAGTCCTGTATTATTCAGCATTTTTTTAAAAACTTCCTAGTTACAAGAAATAATTTATAGCAGAAATCTGCCCAGTTTGCCTTTCATTTTATTTATTTGAGTTACAGTCTGAAGAACACTCTTTTCTTCAGAATTCTCAAGGCATCTTTTCAAGAGCAAGTTTCCAATTAACCTTATAAAGGAACAGGAGTTGGGTAGTTTAAATTGGGATGGAGTTTTGCATATTACACAAAAATTAGAGGGGACAGTGGGGGGGGGGAATTCCCTTGACTCCTACACCCAGCATGTATTTTCTTTCATCTTTACTATCTTATCAGTTCTCTAAATCAGAAGTAGGGGATTTGCCGTCCTCCAGAACTCTTAAAACTACAGATCCCAGCAGCACCAGCCAGCATGATGGGCAATGTGGCAACTTACGGTCGATCGGTTTTGGAGAGCCACACGTTCCTGACCTCTGAATGATCGCGTGGACGGTCATTTTGAAGCCCTGGGATAAAACAGTACACAACCTCTGAACTTTCTCTGCTCTGCCTGCTCTTTTTCGCATATAGGTAGTCCTCGTGTAGCAACCACAATTGGGACCAGTAACTTGGTCATTAAGCAAAGTGAAACCGCGACTGTGCTTAGGATCATATCTCAGCTTTCCTTTGCTTTACAAACCTGCGAAGATCATAAATGCAAGGACTGGTTGCAAAATGACTTACCGCTATCGTAAACTGTGAATAGTCACTAAACAAGGCAGTCACTAAACATTTAATGCTAGTTCCCTCCTCACCAGGCACCCTCTGAATACAGGGAACCAATTCCCGTAATTTCCTAGCCAGCATAGTTAATGGCAATCCTATATTTCTGAAGAGCACCAAGTTAGGAAAGGTTTATTAATAAAGGCGAAAGGCTTAACTCTTTAAGTCAGTGGTTCTCAACCTGTGGGTCGGGACCCCATTTGGGGTCGATCGACCATTTCGCGGGGGTCGCCAAGCAAGGCTGTCCGCCATTTTTTTTGTCCGCCATTTTTTTTGTCCGCCATTTTTCCCCCTTTTCCGGCGGGTGCCTTACCTCCCTTGGGCTGGGCCAGCTGGTGATCGGCCTGCTCCGTCTCTGCCGCTTGCCAGCTACGCCTTGACTAGCGCAGGGGGCGGAACCACGCATGCACGGCGCTCCCGGGCAGGGAAAGTCCTCGACTTACGACCGGTTGGGTAGTCCTCGACTTACGACCGGTTTAGTCCTTGACTTACAACCGGTTTAGTCCTCGACTTACGACCGGTTTAGTCCTCGACTTACGACCGGTTGGGGTCGCGGCATTAAAAAGGTTGAGAACCACTGCTTTAAGTATGCTCATTTTTCAAAACTGACCATGATTCCATCTCTGGTTATCCAAGCAGGTGATGGAGTAGCACCAACCAAAGAGCAACAAGACAACATTGTGTCCCTGGCGAGGCTGCAGTATAATTTTGTCCAAGAAGCTAATCTACCAACAAGAAGCAGCGAGTTTTACCTCACGGGTGAAAACGTCAGCCTGTTTCCTGAGCGGCCCAAAGCCCACCCCTGCGCAAAGGGACTCATTAAAGATGTCAGCACTGCAATTCCACAACAGGGGGGTCCTTTGCCTGTCAGTGCCAGCTGTGACTTACTCAAGCAACAGGGCAGCGGGGTCATTCCCCTGAGCAGGGGGGAGCAGAATAACCTTCAGGATGCTGTGGTCGCAGGAGACAGTTCGCAAAAGGAAGGGCATCCCAGCAAGAGGTCACCTCCGGAGAGGGAAAGCCACCCTGGGAACAACACGGGGGCGGAAGTTAACCATCTACCAGCTTCCGAAGTTCATGAAGAAACGTGTGCCAGAGAAGCGTCCCCCGTGGGTTCTAATTCTGCAGTGAAACCTCTCAGCCCCATCCCTGTTACCCATCAGCCGGTCTCCCCGAAAGACACCCCCAACTCCGGGTGTCCCAATTGCAGACACCCTTCCGAGGGCAGCGGTGCAAGTCTCGTGGGACGAGAAGTCAAGGCCACCAACAAATGGGTTAAACTCACCTCCTCTTCTAAAGAAAAGGCTGGCAAGGTGGTGGTGAAGCCCTTCCAGTGCCCCGATTGCGGGAAAGGCTTCCTTCACCGATCCAGCATCCCCCGGCATCAGAGGCTCCACAAGAAAGACAATTCATCTCCCGATTCAGGGCAGCCGGTGCCCCAACCGGGCGCTAATTGTGGGAACTCTTTCACTATGAAGCCCCTTGTAATCAAACGCCGGAGGCTGCCTGGGATCGACCAGCCATTCAAGTGTCTCTCCTGCGATAAGAGCTATGGGCAGAGAAACCATCTGAAGAGGCATGAGCAGCAGAAGCACCAGGTGGTTGACTAAACAGACAGCTGCTTTGACCAAAGGCAAGCGCTTGTTTCCTTCAGCCCTACAGAGGCTACCAAGGATTGCTGGCAGAAATTTCCTTCTCTTTCCTGATCCAAATTCTCCTGAAGAACAGAGGGGACTTTTCCCAAACCAGGACACTGATGTGTCTGGTCACCCTCCTTACTGTCATGGCCAGCCAGCAGCTCATCTCTAATTTGACCACGTCATGGGTTGCCAAACCACCTTGGCCCATGAACTAGGTGAGATGGGCAGCATAGAAATCTGACAGATAAATAAATATACTTTCCTTCCCATCACTCTTCTGCTGTCTTTATTCTTTGTTCTCCAGTTTGGCCTTGGAGGAATGATCAGAACTGCATCCCAACAAAAGGTTAAAGCAACCTGGTCCATCAGTTCTTTACAGTAACCCTAAAAACAGCCATATCCACCTACTGCACATGCTTATGTTAGTATTTTCATAGTTGTGCTACTGCAAAGAAGGGGGTCTCTGGGCTTATACAGATAGTCCTCGACTTACAACGGTTCATTTAGTAACCGTTCAAAGCTACAACAGCACTGAAAAAAGTGACTTATGACCATTTTTTCA